CATACAAGTATTTATTATAGCCAAGGTTTTCACAATAGCCCAGTATTGCATTAATGGTGTCATAAGAATTCTTTATATCTTTATGTCACAGTATACTTAAGATAGCAAGGGAAATCAAAATCAATCATACTTCAGTTATATTATACTAATTTGAAGCTTTTGATTAGAACATTTGATTTTTATCACAAAGAATAGAAACTTTTCACTGAGAACAATACTGTGTTGAGAAAAGTGCTGAGTCATCATAATAAGTCAAATTGATGGGTACTGATATTAAACTTTATTCTAGGAGTTCAATATTAACTATATTGTATAAAATGGACCAAACTATAGTTCTTTTGTATTTGTTTTCACCTTTCGCAATGATTAATTCAATTGGATCACCAGAATTCAAGTCGCGACAAATATTTTTAACTGAAATATTTGCCTTTTTTGCTGTGTAATTCCCTAAATGTATCACTTGGGTATTTCTCTAGACATAATCTATTAAAATGGGAAATTGTCTGGTTAAGTTTGTACTGTTTATGGAGTAAGACAATATTTGGTCATACTAGAAGCATTTTCAGTGTTATAATAATCCATCTAAGAAAAAAAAAGGCCCACTTGAGGCTAAATTTAGATAGAATTTATACTCTCATGTGTAAAGAATTGTTCACATTCTTGGCAATTCATGCAGCAAATATTTCAATAATGCTTCATTTTGTAGTTCCTATCTTTTATTATATCAGGCATATATAATTTTTCATTTTTTACTGTTTGGAAGGACTTTTGTTGGAAATTAATACTCCCAAGGGACATAATTCAGCTTTTTCATAGATTAATAGTCAACAAAGGCAACTTTACAGCTGAGTATTTTGCATATTTAATGTTTTAAGTGTCTAATATCTTTGTTTTATCATCTCAAGACAGAATAATGGATTTTATAACAAGCTCTGAAATTTTGAACCACCATTTGGCATATACTAAAGCATGGAATGGAGATTAGTATGAAAAATCTTGAATTTGTGCTTATGTTGTAAATTTGGATAAAATGAATACAAATTAAATGGAATAGTTTATTATTCTTTTTAAATAAGATAAGATATGATTGGATACAGGTTGTTTATTAAGCCTTATCTGAAAGAAGCAGAGAAAGAGGTAAACCAGCATGTAGGGGTGGGGACATAAAATGATCCATGTTTCTTTAAGTAATGGGGACATACAAGTATTTATTATAGCCAAGGTTTTCACAATAGCCCAGTATTGCATTAATGGTGTCATAAGAATTCTTTATATCTTTATGTCACAGTATATTGAAGATAGCAAGGGAAATCAAAATCAATCATACTTCAGTTATATTATACTATTTTGAAGCTTTTGATTAGAACATTTGATTTTTATCACAAAGAATAGAAATTTTTCACTGAGAACAATACTGTGTTGAGAAAAGTGCTGAGTCATCATAATAAGTCAAATTGATGGGTACTGATATAAAACTTTATTCTAGGATTTCAATATTAACTATATTGTATAAAATGCACCAAACTATAGTTCTTTTGTATTTGTTTTCACCTTTCGCAATGATTAATTCAATTGGAAACACCAGAATTCAAGTCGCGACAAATATTTTTAACTGAAATATTTGCCTTTTTTGCTGTGTAATTCCCTAAATATATCACTTGGGTATTTCTCTAGACATAATCTATTAAAATGGGAAATTGTCTGGTTAAGTTTGTACTGTTTATGGAGTAAGACAATATTTGGTCATACTAGAAGCATTTTCAGTGTTATAATTGTCCATCTAAGAAAAAAAGAGGCCCACTTGAGCTAAATTTAGATAGAATTTATACTCTCATGTGTAAAGAATTGTTCACATTCTTGGCAATTCATGCAGCAAATATTTCAATAGTGCTTCATTTTGTAGTTGCTATCTTGTATTATATCAGGAATATATAATTTTTCATTTTCTACTGTTTGAAAGGACTTTTGTTGGAAATTAATACTCCCAAGGGACATAATTCAGCTTTTTCATAGATTAATAGTCAACAAAGGCAACTTTACAGCTGAGTATTTTGCATATTTAATGTTTTAAGTGTCTAATATCTTTGTTTTATCATCTCAAGACAGAATAATGGATTTTATAACAAGCTCTGAAATTTTGAACCACCATTTGGCATATACTAAAGCATGGAATGGAGATTAGTATGAAAAATCTTGAATTTGTGCTTATGTTGTAAATTTTGGATAAAATGAATACAAATTAAATGGAACAGTTTATTATTCTTTTTAAATAAGATAAGATATGATTGGATACAGGTTGTTTATTAAGCCTTATCTGAAAGAAGCAGAGAAAGAGGTAAACCAGCATGTAGGGGTGGGGACATAAAATGATCCATGTTTCTTTAAGTAATGGGGACATACAAGTATTTATTATAGCCAAGGTTTTCACAATAGCCCAGTATTGCATTAATGGTGTCATAAGAATTCTTTATATCTTTATGTCACAGTATACTGAAGATAGCAAGGGAAATCAAAATCAATCATACTTCAGTTATATTATACTATTTTGAAGCTTTTGATTAGAACATTTGTTTTTTATCACAAAGAATAGAAATTTTTCACTGAGAACAATACTGTGTTGAGAAAAGTGCTGAGTCATCATAATAAGTCAAATTGATGGGTACTGATATTAAACTTTATTCTAGGATTTCAATATTAACTATATTGTATAAAATGCACCAAACTATAGTTCTTTTGTATTTGTTTTCACCTTTTGAAATGATTAATTCAATTGGAAACACCAGAATTCAAGTCGCGACAAATATATTTAACTGAAATATTTGCCTTTTTTGCTGAGTAATTCCCTAAATATATCACTTGGGTATTTCTCTAGACATAATCTATTAAAATGGGAAATTGTCTGGTTAAGTTTGTACTGTTTATGGAGTAAGACAATATTTGGTCATACTAGAAGCATTTTCAGTGTTATAATTGTCCATCTAAGAAAAAAAGAGGCCCACTTGAGCTAAATTTAGATAGAATTTATACTCTCATGTGTAAAGAATTGTTCACATTCTTGGCAATTCATGCAGCAAATATTTCAATAGTGCTTCATTTTGTAGTTCCTATCTTTTATTATATCAGGCATATATAATTTTTCATTTTCTACTGTTTGAAAGGACTTTTGTTGGAAATTAATACTCCCAAGGGACATAATTCAGCTTTTTCATAGATTAATACAGTCAACAAAGGCAACTTTACAGCTGAGTTTTTTGCATATTTAATGTTTTAAGTGTCTAATATCTTTGTTTTATCATCTCAAGACAGAATAATGGATTTTATAACAAGCTCTGAAATTTTGAACCACCATATGGCATATACTAAAGCATGGAATGGAGATTAGTATAAAAAATCTTGAATTTGTGCTTATGTTGTAAATTTTGGATAAAATGAATACAAATTAAATGGAACTGTCATTTTTATCTGTTTAAATGGAACTGTTTATTATTCTTTTTAAATAAGATAAGATATGATTACATACAGGTTGTTTATTAAGCCTTATCTGAAAGAAGCAGAGAAAGAGGTAAACCAGCATGTAGGGGTGGGGACATAAAATGATCCATGTTTCTTTAAGTAATGGGACATACAAGTATTTATTATAGCCAAGGTTTTCACAATAGCCCAGTATTGCATTAATGGTGTCATAAGAATTCTTTATATCTTTATGTCACAGTATACTGAAGATAGCAAGGGAAATCAAAATCAATCATACTTCAGTTATATTATACTATTTTGAAGCTTTTGATTAGAACATTTGATTTTTATCACAAAGAATAGAAACTTTTCACTGAGAACAATACTGTGTTGAGAAAAGTGCTGAGTCATCATAATAAATCAAATTGACGGGTACTGATATAAAACTTTATTCTAGGATTTCAATATTAACTATATTGTATAAAATGCACCAAACTATAGTTCTTTTGTATTTGTTTTCACCTTTCGCAATGATTAATTCAATTGGAAACACCAGAATTCAAGTCGCGACAAATATTTTTAACTGAAATATTTGCCTTTTTTGCTGTGTAATTCCCTAAATGTATCACTTGGGTATTTCTCTAGACATAATCTATTAAAATGGGAAATTGTCTGGTTAAGTTTGTACTGTTTATGGAGTAAGACAATATTTGGTCATACTAGAAGCATTTTCAGTGTTATAATTGTCCATCTAAGAAAAAAGAGGCCCACTTGAGGCTAAATTTAGATAGAATTTATACTCTCGTGTGTAAAGAATTGTTGACATTCTTGGCAATTCATGCAGCAAATATTTCAATAGTGCTTCATTTTGTAGTTCCTATCTTTTATTATATCAGGCATATATAATTTTTCATTTTCTACTGTTTGAAAGGACCTTTGTTGGAAATTAATACTCCCAAGGGACATAATTCAGCTTTTTCATAGATTAATACAGTCAACAAAGGCAACTTTACAGCTGAGTATTATGCATATTTAATGTTTTAAGTGTCTAATATCTTTGTTTTATCATCTCAAGACAGAATAATGGATTTTATAACAAGCTCTGAAATTTTGAACCACCATATGGCATATACTAAAGCATGGAATGGAGATTAGTATGAAAAATCTTGAATTTGTGCTTATGTTGTAAATTTTGGACTTCTTTTCCTATTTTTGTTGTATTAATCATGTAATGTATCCAATTTTCAAGTTCCAGTTTCAATAAAACATTCATAAAGGCTGAACTTGTAAAGAGGGAGGAAAATTTATACTACAGCCCATACTGCGGCCAATGTATATTTGGTATATAAAGTTGCACATTGACTGTTTTTAAAAGAATGGTGTAAAATACTATGCTTAATAAATATGAATTGTTTTCTGTGTTTGCTTTGATCAGTATTGCAAGTACATCTAGGAACTAAAGTCTTGATGTACTCTTAGTTAAATTTTGCCTTATATGGAAGATTTTAATTAAATACCCTGAAAAAGACCACAAAAGACTTTTCAAAGGTTTTTTAAGCAGTTTCATACCATAAAAAACAACAATTATGTTTCATTTTACTAAATCTGTGTTTTAATTACTTGTAAATTTCATAAAATGTCATTGACAACCACTCTGCAGAAATTCCTGTTACCCCAACATCAGGATGGTTTCTTCGCCAAAACTAGACGGACAAAACTGAAGTAGAAAAAAGTGCCAAATATGAAAAAAAATAAGACTGGGTATGACCAAACTTTGCATTTGGAACATAAAAGTAACAATTTAGAATATTAAAAAGCAATTATTTAACATAGCAATCCAATTACAAACATTTCAACACTAGTTTTATAGATGAAGGGTATATAATAATGAAAAGTTGTCTAGTATTTTTTTTTACTTAAAGAAACGCAATGAATTATGTAAAAATAAATGAATATCTTCATACGGTCAGATTATTCCAGTGTTAAAATACTTGAAAAGTGCTTATTTACAACATGATCTACAACTTAACATGGGGAACACAGCTAAAAAAAATACACTATGTGAAAGGGAGGTAATTCTGATTTTCCATATGATTTTACACATTATTAGGAGAAATATGTTCAAATGTGATTTAAAATGGGGAGAATATTTATGCCTTTTAATAATATCATAACTCTCAAGTGTAATTTCTATTGTTTCTTTCAATCTGGACACAAAACTGATTTTTTACCATATACCCCATGCTTCCTCCCACAGTACACTCAGAGCATCCTGGATAGCCGCGGTTAACCATAGAAATTTGTATAAAAACAACTTTAACTGGTTCCAAAAGGCTTCCATTGCATTAAAATTTACAGGAAATGAGTTTTGTGATTATTGTGTGGCCTTGAACAAGTACAGTGACAGAGTGCATATTTTCCTATAGGGGTAAATTCAGTAAAAAATCTCCCATTGACTTTAATGCTAATCTATGTCTTGAATTAAATTTATACCTGATTTACCTTTAGAAATTGGAAGCTTTCATATATCATTCATGAAAGTACAAATGTAGCCCTATCTTTTGCAACAATAAAAACATAGGGTCATGCAGCATTTTTGGGCATTCACATGGCCTTGTTTACAAACACTGTAGATTCGCACTTAATTCCTTTACGACCCCCATTACTTTTCAACCCTGTAGTAAAAAAAATTAGTACATTCAGCATTCATTTTTAAATTTTTTTTAACTCTAGTTTTGATCCATCTATCAAAAAATATTTTTTACAAACATTATCTACCAATCAGAAGAGCACAGGACTTCAGTTTTGTACAGAAAGCTCTCCCCCAAATGGGCGGTCTCTGATGACGTATATTTATTTACTGAATTTACCCCTATAAGGGACTTTTTAACTTCTTTTCCTATTTTGTTGTATTAATCATGTAATGTATCCAATTTTCAAGTTCCAGTTTCAATACAACATTCATAAAGGCTGAACTTGTAAAGAGGGAGGAAAATTTATACTACAGCCCATACTGCGGCCAATGTATATTTGGTATATAAAGTTGCACATTGACTGTATATATAATAAATATGAATTGTTTTCTGTGTTTGCTTTGATCAGTATTGCAAGTACATCTAGGAACTAAAGTCTTGATGTACTCTTAGTTAAATTTTGCCTTATATGGAAGATTTTAATTAAATACCCTGAAAAAGACCACAAAAAGACTTTTCAAAGGTTTTTTAAGCAGTTTCATACCATAAAAAACAACAATTATGTTTCATTTTACTAAATCTGTGTTTTAATTACTTGTAAATTTCACAATATGTCATTGACAACCACTCTGCAGAAATTCCTGTTACCCCAACATCTGGATGGTTTATTCGCCAAAACTAGGCGGACAAAACTGAAGTAGAAAAAAGTGCCAAATATGAAAAAAATAAGACTGGGTATGACCAAACTTTGCATTTGGAACATAAAAGTAATAATTTAGAATATTAAAAAGCAATTATTTAACATAGCAATCCAATTACAAACATTTCAAAACTAGTTTTATAGATGAAGGGTATATAATCATGAAAAGTTGTCTAGTATTTTTTTTTACTTAAAGAAACGCAATGAATTAGGTAAAAATAAACGAATATCTTCATACGGTCAGACTATTCGAGTGTTAAAATACTTGAAAAGTGCTTATTTACAACATGATCTACAACTTAACATGGGGAACACAGCTAAAAAAATACACTTTGTCAAAGGGAGGTAATTCTGATTTTCCATATGATTTTACACATTATTAGGAGAAATATGTGCAAAATGTGATTTAAAATGGAGAGAATATTTATACCTTTTAATAAAATCATAACTCTCAAGTGTAATTTCTATTGTTTCTTTCAATCTGGACACAAAACTGATTTTTTACCATATACCCCATGCTTCCTCCCACAGTACACTAAGAGCATCCTGGATAGCCGCGGTTTAACATAGAAATTTGTATAAAAAAAAACTTTAACTGGTTCCAAACACTAAACGGACAAAACCGAAGTAGAAAAAAGTGCCAAATATGAAAAAAATAAGACTGAGTATGACCAAACTTTGCATTTATACCTATTACTGTCAGAACAGTAGATGTCTCCTTAGAACACTGACAAGTCTCATATACCATACCACATAGAAACAGTAGATGTCTTCTAAAGAACACTAACAAGTCTCATATACCATACCACAAGAAACAGATGTCTACTAATAAATGCTAACAATTCTCATATACCCCATACCACATAGAACAGTAGATGTCTTCTAAAGAACATTAACAAGTCTCATATACCATACCACATAGAAACAGTAGAAGTCTCCTAATAAAACCTAACAAGTCTCATATACCATACCACAAAGAACAGCAGATGTGTCCTTATAGACAATAACTAGTCTCATATACCATACCACATTGAACAGTAGATGTCTCCTTACAGACAATAACTAGTCTCATGTATCATACCACATTTATCTATAGACACTAAGAGTAGAAAAGGAAATGTTCTACTTGAATGGAACACTTATCCTGCCATACTGGATACTTGATATCATACGCAAAACTTTATAATAACTATTCTAATTTTAATAACAAACTAATATACTAAGACACCATTGTATACACAGTATACTAGTATCATATTCACAATCAATTATAAATCTATTATACTGAATACATATGAAAATAATAATAAATGTATCATTTGGCTTTCAGGGGGGCTACTCATTAAAACTTACAATAATACTAATTAAAATAACCAAATCAAAATCACTACCTACTCAACATAATTTTAAATTAATTAAAAAATAAATTGCCTAAATTATGCAATTTTAAGAACCTGCAGTAGAGCCCTGACAGGTGAAAAATTTATTTTAGAACCTGACTGGTAGAACCCAGACAGGTATAAATTTGAAAAATGAGAATACCTGCGGTAGATCCCAACAGGTACTTTTAGAACCTGAGTGGTAGAGCTCAGACAAGTATGAATTTTGAAAACTGAGAATTCCTGCGGTAGATCCCAACAGGTACTATTAGAACCTGACTGATAGAACCCTGAGACAGGTATAAATTTGAAAAAAGAGAATTCCTGCGGTAGATCCCAACAGGTACAAAAACTAACTTAATTATCACCCTTAAATAAAACAAAGCCTTAATAATTTATAAGATGTATTAATGAATTGGGGGAAAATAATTTCCCTGAAATTAAGTAGGCCAAATGAACGAGTAGCATGAGTGAAAGCCCCCAAGAAATGATACATGTACATATAAATAAAAAATAATTCAATAGACCATTAGAAAGAAAAAAGTACTTGAATATAATTTCATGTATGAAAATGAAAACAAACAGGAAAAAAAAAATAAATAAATAAAAAATAACTACAATACTAAAATAATTAACGAAATGTAGTTCTTATAACTCCTTTGATATAGAACAAAACATGTATAAAAAATTAGGAACGACACATTCTGCTTCGTGCTTTACAAACAGTTTTGGGTCAGTTCGAATATAACGTATATAACAATCGGATGTCCATCTACCTAATGTTTGGATAATATGATCCTCAACCCCTGCCTCTGCTGCTGATGTAGCAGCACCAATTCAAAAAGAATGACCACAAAATTTGCTATCATTATACCCTAATCTGAACAGCAAATCTCGAAGCAGAGATATAAATGTATCTCTAGACAAAGGAGCATTATTATACTCATCACTAACGAATAAATAGGAATCTGGTCTAGCTCCATATTTTTTTCGTACTTGTATATATCTTCTCATCAAATCAACTGGGTTGAAAATATAATAGAATAGTAATGTTAATACCTTCTCGAAATGGGTCACATTTGGAGGAATTCAGATGTAATGTGAAATTTTGAAAATATATGTCTAAATTAATATTTTGAATTAAAAGTGTGTCCTGCCTTGCAATTTTACTACTATACGTAAATTCACCACATCGGAGAAATCCAAAACAAGCTAGATTAAATGCGCACTGCAACATTACGAATGGAGAAAAAAAAACACCTTGCTTTAACATAAAGCACAATTGTTTCAAAATTTGAGATGTTTTAGGTAATCTCTTTTGTTCAACATTACTCTGAGACTTTTTAATACCTCTAATATACACTCTAAGCGTGCACAAAGGGTCAGGATGCCCTATTAATAAGTAATTATGCCTAATTCCTGCTAAATACAATTTAATTGTAGCATGAGCTAGCTTAAGAGAATTCTTGCAATAGGTTACAAAATAAATTAAACAATCTTCATCTATTATTGACACACTATTTATATGCTTATAACTAGTCATACCATAAATGTCTTAAAACATTGAAAGCCAGAATTATAAGTCTTTCTAGTACTTATACATAAAGATGCATAGAAACCTGTGGTAGAACCCACAGGTGAAACAAATATAACCTGTGGTAGAACCCAGATAGGTTAAAAATACTTTAATACTGTAGTAAAACCCTGAGTGAGACATATAACAACATGTGGTAGAACCCAGATAGGTGAAAAATGCAATAACATTTGGTAGAACCAAGAAAGGTAATTTCTTGAGACTGCATAAATAGAGCAGGTCTGCAAGCCTTGCTATGTACAATGTACATAATGTGATACAATGTTTACTGGATTGATTGATTGATTGTTGGTTGCTTAACGTCCCAATGTTAACAGGATATATGAATGTTGAATCCTGCACAGCTGAATCTGCCAGATACCATAACCTTGAGTTCACGTGTACTGACAAGTCGTCTACCACTCCTCAGGCGGATTTATAGTTACAATTTCACCTACTATCATTCCTTGAGAACCATAAACAGCATTCCAGCTGGGACTATTATACTATAATAGTCCCAATTACTGCTGAAATATAAAACTTAAAGCAGTATCATGTTTTAAACATTTGGTCCAACCTAAGTAAACAGGTGAAAATAATATATGGACCTGTGATAAATCCGGACAGGAAAAAATTCTTGAAAATGTGGTATAACCCTGACAGTTGAAAACATGCCATATCCAGAACCCAGACAGGTAAAAATTTCTTGAAACCTAAGGAAGAACCCTGATAGGTGAGCATTAAAATCATACATGTGTAAGACACCTGTTGTTGATCAAAGACAGGTGTTTTGATAAGAATTCCTCAGGTAGATTTTTACAAATACTTGGGCTAGACAGTAAGGCACTCAACCATGCATGATTGATTGATTGATTATTGTTGCTTAACTCCAGTGGCAATTCTGTAAGAAAGCCTGATATTAATCCACCAATTCAACCACTTAAAAATCCATAGTACGGATGGTCAATCAAATATTCTGATAAACTGTTAATTTTTAAGTGGAAACTGAAAAGTCAAAACTGACATGGGGATCTAAAATGTCTTTAAGTTGCCAGATTTGATACTCTGGGGCCCATATGGTTCTCGGTTTTTTGTCAGTATATACATATTAGATTTGCCCTTTACATATCAAACAAACATGACTATTGCAGCATCTCATAGCTGCGCATCCTGTGATACCTTTGAAAATATTACGAATTTCCCAACCTAAAAGAAATATTCTGTCTATTACACGATTAGTTATTCCTTACTCTTGTGCTTATAAGACTGTTCTAAAACCAGGAGTGGGAAATGTGTTACCACACAGGTTTGGATGAGTATAATTTAGCAAAAAAAAAAAAAAAATGATACAAAAGAAAGTAGTGTTTATAATAGACAACTCTGCTGCTATGTTGCAAAAAGACAAATGAGCTGCACATTAACAGTAGTGACAATCGTAGAAACCCATACCTAATAAGTGGTCAGATCTACTTGATCCCTCCTATAGAAATCACATTACTTCTCCATCGGGGGAAGACAAGAGCATATTACTTATATATAATATACTAAAAACTTGAATAAACTCCCCTACTTGATGAAGACCTAGTGAGCCTAGGAATAGATTTGTAATGTATTGCCCCAATTGAAGTTTCATTTTTTCAGACCCGGCATAATAAGGGTTGAGTAAGAAGTTCGTACCTGACGTGATGTTTTCCTCAGTTGGGGAGAAAGGCAGTGGTTCAGCTGCATATCACCTTGTATTCCGGACACCACACTCTTCCTGGTTTTTTTACCAGCTGCAGTCTTTGATAGAGTATTTCTAGTGAAGCTGCATATCCTGATCCTTCGTATGCTTACTCCAGGTTGTTTGGATTCCTCCAATTGTTGACATTGTCACATCGTAAACTTCCGGTTGAAGTGAAAGTAGAAAAATCGGCTGCTTTATGTCCTGTCAAGTATTCTTATTCTTATAAGATTTTTGATGATTACTCACCTCCGTTCGGTGATGAAACATAACATTTCAACTGGAAGACTGCATGGTTGAAGAAAGTATGGAGGCCAAGTTATTTAAATTTCTTCTGTCCATTTAATGATGAAGTGGAATTCGCAACCACGTTGTCCTCTTGTGTACTAACTGGTGCATTGTGGGATCGCGCACTACCATATATGGTGTAGCTTGAATTTTATCTGCTAATAATGGAATAATGTCCAGCATTTCGGTTATATTATTATTATTGGTAGTAAAGTCTTGAAAAGCAATATTCAGAGTTCTGACTAGCACCTTCTATCATTTATCGGTACTATTATTCCTTAACTGACTGTGATATTTTCTAGGTCACATTGCACTTGCACGTTTATAATCCCCGACTATTACCGTCCCATAACGAATGAGAGGTACTTGCACGTTTAATCCCCGACTATTACCGTCCCATAACGAATGAGAGGTCCAATAGCTAATGAGAAGCAAACACATTAACTAACGAAGTTGATAATGAATAGAATAATTAACAGCATCTTTAGAAGCCGGTACAATTATCAATATCCATGTAAAATACGAAACATCAACTTCAATACAAAGAAGTTTCCAAATGTCCCATGAAAACGTGTTAAAAGTCCAGTTTGATTTACATCACAAATTAATATAGCTACTTTCAAGAAAATGAAAAGTAAATTTCTTGAATTAATTTTCCACAAGTAAAAATATGACTGCTAGCAGTGCAATGCACAAACGACAACTGACCATCCTATCAAAATTATATACAGATGTTCTATTATTACACCCATGCTGTCATCATGCTGTTTCCTATCTATGATCTAACACCTATCCCTTAATCTCTTAATTAAAACAAAACTGCCAAGCTGCCAAGCTGACCTTATCATTAATGAAAATAAAACCAGGGAAAGTACATACCCTAGGAATTTATCAAAATATGTATAAACTCTAATTTAATTTTTTAAATTTCCATTTGGAACATAAAAGTAACAATTTAGAATATTAAAAAGCAATTATTTAACATAGCAATCCAATTACAAACATTTCAACACTAGTTTTATAGATGAAGGGTATATAATAATGAAAAGTTGTCTAGTATTTTTTTTTACTTAAAGAAACGCAATGAATTATGTAAAAATAAATGAATATCTTCATACGGTCAGATTATTCGAGTGTTAAAATACTTGAAAAGTGCTTATTAACAACATGATCTACAACTTTACATGGGGAACACAGCTAAAAAAATACACTATGTCAAAGGGAGGTAATTCTGATTTTCCATATGATTTTACACATTATTAGGAGAAATATGTTCAAATGTGATTTAAAATGGGGAGAATATTTATGCCTTTTAATAATATCATAACTCTCAAGTGTAATTTCTATTGTTTCTTTCAATCTGGACACAAAACTGATTTTTTACCATATACCCCATGCTTCCTCCCACAGTACACTCAGAGCATCCTGGATAGCCGCAGTCAAACATAGAAATTTGTATAAAAACAACTTTAACTGGTTCCAAAAGGCTTCCATTGCATTAATATTTACAGGGAATTAGTTTTGTGATTATTGTGTGGCCTTGAACAAGTACAGTGACAGAGTGCATATTTTCCTATAAGTGACTTTTTAACTTCTTTTCCTATTTTTGTTGTATTAATCATGTAATGTATCCAATTTTCTTCAAGTTCCAGTTTCAATACAACATTCATAAAGGCTGAACTTGTAAAGAGGGAGGAAAATTTATACTACAGCCCATACTGCGGCCAATGTATATTTGGTATATAAAGTTGCACATTGACTGTTTTTAAAAGAATGGTGTAAAATACTATGCTTAATAAATATGAATTGTTTTCTGTGTTTGCTTTGATCAGTATTGCAAGTACATCTAGGAACTAAAGTCTTGATGTACTCTTAGTTAAATTTTGCCTTATATGGAAGATTTTAATTAAATACCCTGAAAAAGACCACAAAAAGACTTTTCAAAGGTTTTTTAAGCAGTTTCATACCATAAAAAACAACAATTATGTTTCATTTTACTAAATCTGTGTTTTAATTACTTGTAAATTTCAAAAATTTGTCAAAGACAACCACTCTGCAGAAATTCCTGTTACCCCAACATCAGGATGGTTTCTTCGCCAAAACTAGACAGACAAAACTGAAGTAGAAAAAAGTGCCAAATATGAAAAAAATAAGACTGGGTATGACCAAACTTTGCATTTGGAACATAAAAGTAACTATTTAGAATATTAAAAAGCAATTATTTAACATAGCAATCCAATTACAAACATTTCAACACTAGTTTTATAGATGAAGGGTATATAATAATGAAAAGTTGTCTAGTATTTTTTTTTACTTAAAGAAACGCAATGAATTATGTAAAAATAAATTAATATCTTCATACGGTCAGATTATTCCAGTGTTAAAATACTTGAAAAGTGCTTATTTACAACATGATCTACAACTTAACATGGGGAACACAGCTAAAAAAAATACACTATGTCAAAGGGAGGTAATTCTGATTTTCCATATGATTTTACACATTATTAGGAGAAATATGTGCAAAATGTGATTTAAAATGGGGAGAATATTTATGCCTTTTAATAATATCATAACTCTCAAGGGTATATATATTCTATTGTTTCTTTCAATCTGGACACAAAACTGATTTTTTACCATATACCCCATGCTTCCTCCCACAGTACAGTCAGAGCATCCTGGATAGCCGCGGTTAAACATAGAAATTTGTATAAAAACAACTTTAACTGGTTCCAAAAGGCTTCCATTGCATTAATATTTACAGGAAATGAGTTTTGTGATTATTGTGTGGCCTTGAACAAGTACAGTGACAGAGTGCATATTTTCCTATAAGGGACTTTTTAACTTCTTTTCCTATTTTTGTTGAATTAATCATGTAATGTATCCAATTTATAAGTTCCAGTTTCAATACAACATTCATAAAGGCTGAACTTGTAAAGAGGAAGGAAAATTTATACTACAGCCCATACTGCAGCCAATGTATATTTGGTATATAAAGTTGCACATTGACTGTTTTTAAAAGAATGGTGTAAAATACTATGCTTAATAAATATGAATTGTTTTCTGTGTTTGCTTTGATCAGTATTGCAAGTACATCTAGGAACTAAAGTCTTGATGTACTCTTAGTTAAATTTTGCCTTATATGGAAGATTTTAATTAAATACCCTGAAAAAGACCACAAAAAGACTTTTCAAAGGTTTTTTAAGCAGTTTCATACCATAAAAAACAACAATTATGTTTCATTTTACTAAATCTGTGTTTTAATTACTTGTAAATTTCACAAAATGTCATTGACAACCACTCTGCAGAAATTCCTGTTACCCCAACATCTGGATGGTTTATTCGCCAAAACTAGGCGGACAAAACTGAAGTAGAAAAAAGTGCCAAATATGAAAAAAATAAGACTGGGTATGACCAAACTTTTCATTTGGAACATAAAAGTAACAATTTAGAATATTAAAAAGCAATTATTTAACATAGCAATCCAATTACAAACATTTCAACACTAGTTTTATAGATGAAGGGTATATAATCATGAAAAGTTGTCTAGTATTTTTTTTACTTAAAGAAACGCAATGAATTAGGTAAAAATAAACGAATATCTTCATACGGTCAGATTATTCGAGTGTTAAAATACTTGAAAAGTGCTTATTTACAACATGATCTACAACTTAACATGGGGAACACAGCTAAAAAAATACACTATGTCAAAGGGAGGTAATTCTGATTTTCCATATGATTTTACACATTATTAGGAGAAATATGTGCAAAATGTGATTTAAAATGGGGAGAATATTTATACCTTTTAATAAAATCATAACTCTCAAGTGTAATTTCTATTGTTTCTTTCAATCTGGACACAAAACTGATGTTTTACCATATACCCATGCTTCCTCCCACAGTACACTAAGAGCATCCTGGATAGCCGCGGTTAAACATAGAAATTTGTATAAAAAAAAACTTTAACTGGTTCCAAAACTAAACGGACAAAACCGAAGTAGAAAAAAGTGCCAAATATGAAAAAAATAAGACTGGATATGACCAAACTTTGCATTTATACCTATTACTGTCAGAACATTAGATGTCTCCTTAGAACACTGACAAGTCTCATATACCATACCACATAGAAACAGTAGATGTCTTCTAAAGAACACTAACAAGTCTCATATACCATACCACAAGAAACAGATGTCTACTAATAAATGCTAACAATTCTCATATACCCCATACCACATAGAACAGTAGATGTCTTCTAAAGAACATTAACAAGTCTCATATACCATACCACATAGAAACAGTAGAAGTCTCCTAATAAAACCTAACAAGTCTCATATACCATACCACAAAGAACAGTAGATGTGTCCTTATAGACAATAACTAGTCTCATATACCATACCACATTGAACAGTAGATGTCTCCTTACAGACAATAACTAGTCTCATGTATCATACCACATTTATCTATAGACACTAAGAGTAGAAAAGGAAATGTTCTACTTGAATGGAACACTTATCCTGCCATACTGGATACTTGATATCATACGCAAAACTTTATAATAACTATTCTAATTTTAATAACAAACTAATATACTAAGACACCATTGTATACACAGTATACTAGTATCATATTCACAATCAATTCTAAATCTATTATACTGAATACATATGAAAATAATAATAAATGTATCATTTGGCTTTCAGGGGGGCTAATCATTAAAACTTACAATAATACTAATTAAAATAACCAAATCAAAATCACTACCTACTCAACATAATTTTAAATTAATTAAAAAATAAATTGCCTAAATTATGCAATTTTAAGAACCTGCAGTAGAGCCCTGACAGGTGAAAAATTTATTTTAGAACCTGACTGGTAGAACCCAGACAGGTATAAATTTGAAAAATGAGAATACCTGCGGTAGATCCCAACAGGTACTTTTAGAACCTGAGTAGTAGAGCCCAGACAAGTATGAATTTTGAAAACTGAGAATTCCTGCGGTAGATCCCAACAGGTACTTTTAGAACCTGAGTGGTAGAGCCCAGACAAGTATGAATTTTGAAAAATGAGAATTCCTGCGGTAGATCCCAACAGGTACTATTAGAACCTGACTGGTAGAACCCTGAGACAGGTATAAATTTGAAAAAAGAGAATTCCTGCGGTAGATCCCAACAGATACAAAAACTAACTTAATTATCACCCTTAAATAAAACAAAGCCTTAATAATTTATAAGATGTATTAATGAATTGGGGGAAAATAATTTCCCTGAAATTAAGTAGGCCAAATGAACGAGTAGCATGAGTGAAAGCCCCCAAGAAATGATACATGTACATATAAATAAAAAAAATTCAATAGACCATTAGAAAGAAAAAAAGTGCTTGAATATAATTTCATGTATGAAAATGAAAACAAACAGGAAAAAAAAATAAATAAATAAAAAATAACTACAATACTAAAATAATTAACGAAATGTAGTTCTTATAACTCCTTTGATATAGAACAAAACATGTATAAAAAATTAGGAACGACACATTCTGCTTCGTGCTTTACAAACAGTTTTTGGGTCAGTTCGAATATAACGTATATAACAATCGGATGACCATCTACCTAATGTTTGGATAATATGATCCTCAACCCCTGCCGCTGCTGCTGATGTAGCAGCACCAATTCAAAAAGAATGACCACAAAATTTGCTATCATTATACCCTAATCTGAACAGCAAATCTCGAAGCAGAGATATAAATGTATCTCTAGACAAAGGAGCATTATTATACTCATCACTAACGAATAAATAGGAATCTGGTCTAGCTCCATATTTTTTTCGTACTTGTATATATCTTCTCATCAAATCAACTGGGTTGAAAATATAATAGAATAGTAATGTTAATACCTTCTCGAAATGGGTCACATTTGGAGGAATTCAGATGTAATGTGAGATTTTGAAAATATATGTCTAAATTAATATTTTGAATTAAAAGTGTGTCCTGCCTTGCAATTTTACTACTATACGTAAATTCACCACATCGGAGAAATCCAAAACAAGCTAGATTAAATGCGCACTGCAACATTACGAATGGAGAAAAAAAAAACACCTTGCTTTAACATAAAGCACAATTGTTTCAAAATTTGAGATGTTTTAGGTAATCTCTTTTGTTCAACATTACTCTGAGACTTTTTAATACCTCTAATATACACTCTAAGCGTGCACAAAGGGTCAGGATGCCCTATTAATAAGTAATTATGCCTAATTCCTGCTAAATACAATTTAATTGTAGCATGAGCTAGCTTAAGAGAATTCTTGCAATAGGTTACAAAATAAATTAAACAATCTTCATCTATTATTGACACACTATTTATATGCTTCTAACTAGTCATACCATAAATGTCTTAAAACATTGAAAGCCAGAATTATAAGTCTTTCTAGTACTTATACATAAAGATGCATAGAAACCTGTGGTAGAACCCACAGGTGAAACAAATATTACCTGTGGTAGAACCCAGATAGGTTAAAAATACTTGAATACTGTAGTAAAACCCTGAGTGAGACATATAACAACATGTGGTAGAACCCAGATAGGTGAAAAATGCAATAACATTTGGTAGAACCAAGAAAGGTAATTTCTTGAGACTGCATAACTAAAGCAGGTCTGCAAGCCTTGCTATGTACAATGTACATAATGTGATACAATGTTTACTGGATTGATTGATTGATTGTTGGTTGCTTAACGTCCCAATGTTAACAGGATATATGAATGTTGAATCCTGCACAGCTGAATCTGCCAGATACCATAACCTTGAGTTCACGTGTACTGACAAGTCGTCTACCACTCCTCAGGCGGATTTATAGTTACAATTTCACCTACTATCATTCCTTGAGAACCATAAACAGCATTCCAGCTGGGACTATTATACTATAATAGTCCCAATTACTGCTGAAATATAAAACTTAAAGCAGTATCATGTTTTAAACATTTGGTCCAACCTAAGTAAACAGGTGAAAACAATATATGGACCTGTGATAAATCCGGACAGGAAAAAATTCTTGAAAATGTGGTATAACCCTGACAGTTGAAAACATGCCATATCCAGAACCCAGACAGGTAAAAATTTCTTGAAACCTAAGGAAGAACCCTGATAGGTGAGCATTAAAATCATACATGTGTAAGACACCTGTTGTTGATCAAAGACAGGTGTTTTGATAAGAATTCCTCAGGTAGATTTTTACAAATACTTGGGCTAGACAGTAAGGCACTCAACCCTGCATGATTGATTGATTGATTATTGTTGCTTAACTCCAGTGGCAATTCTGTACGAAAGCCTGATATTAATCCACCAATTCAACCACTTAAAAATCCATAGTACGGATGGTCAATCAAATATTCTGATAAACTGTTAATTTTTAAGTGGAAACTGAAAAGTCAAAACTGACATGGGGATCTAAAATGTCTTTAAGTTGCCAGATTTGATACTCTGGGGCCCATATGGTTCTCGGTTTTTTGTCAGTATATACATATTAGATTTGCCCTTTACATATCAAACAAACATGACTATTGCAGCATCTCATAGCTGCGCATCCTGTGATACCTTTGAAAATATTACGAATTTCCCAACCTAAAAGAAATATTCTGTCTCTTACACGATTAGTTATTCCTTACTCTTGTGCTTATAAGACTGTTCTAAAACCAGGAGTGGGAAATGTGTTACCACACAGGTTTGGATGAGTATAATTTAGCAACAACAAAAAAATGATACAAAAGAAAGTAGTGTTTATAATAGACAACTCTGCTATGTTGCAAAAAGACAAATGAGCTGCACATTAACAGTAGTGACAATCGTAGAAACCCATACCTAATAAGTGGTCAGATCTACTTGATCCCTCCTATAGAAATCACATTACTTCTCCATCGGGGGAAGACAAGAGCATGTTACTTATATATAATATACTAAAAACTTGAATAAACTCCCCTACTTGATGAAGACCTAGTGAGCCTAGGAATAGATTTGTAATGTATTGCCCCAATTGAAGTTTCATTTTTTCAGACCCGGCATAATAAGGGTTGAGTAAGAAGTTCGTACCTGACGTGATGTTTTCCTCAGTTGGGGAGAAAGGCAGTGGTTCAGCTGCATATCACCTTGTATTCCGGACACCACACTCTTCCTGGTTTTTTTACCAGATGCAGTCTTTGATAGAGTATTTCTAGTGAAGCTGCATATCCTGATCCTTCGTATGCTTACTCCAGGTTGTTTGGATTCCTCCAATTGTTGACATTGTCACATCGTAAACTTCCGGTTGAAGTGAAAGTAGAAAAATCGGCTGCTTTATGTCCTGTCAAGTATTCTTATTCTTATAAGATTTTTGATGATTACTCACCTCCGTTCGGTGATGAAACATAACATTTCAACTGGAAGACTGCATGGTTGAAGAAAGTATGGAGGCCAAGTTATTTAAATTTCTTCTGTCCATTTAATGATGAAGTGGAATTCGCAACCACGTTGTCCTCTTGTGTACTAACTGGTGCATTGTGGGATCGCGCACTACCATATATGGTGTAGCTTGAATTTTATCTGCTAATAATGGAATAATGTCCAGCATTTCGGTTATATTATTATTATTGGTAGTAAAGTCTTGAAAAGCAATATTCAGAGTTCTGACTAGCACCTTCTATCATTTATCGGTACTATTATTCCTTAACTGACTGTGATATTTTCTAGGTCACATTGCACTTGCACGTTTATAATCCCCGACTATTACCGTCCCATAACGAATGAGAGGTACTTGCACGTTTAATCCCCGACTATTACCGTCCCATAACGAATGAGAGGTCCAATAGCTAATGAGAAGCAAACACATTAACTAACGAAGTTGATAATGATTAGAATAATTAACAGCATCTTTAGAAGCCGGTACAATTATCAATATCCATGTAAAATACGAAACATCAACTTCAATACAAAGAAGTTTCCAAATGTCCCATGAAAACGTGTTAAAAGTCCAGTTTGATTTACATCACAAATTAATATAGCTACTTTCAAGAAAATGAAAAGTAAATTTCTTGAATTAATTTTCCACAAGTAAAAATATGACTGCTAGCAGTGCAATGCACAAACGACAACTGACCATCCTATCAAAATTATATACAGATGTTCTATTATTACACCCATGCTGTCATCATGCTGTTTCCTATCTATGATCTAACACCTATCCCTTAATCTCTTAATTAAAACAAAACTGCCAAGCTGCCAAGCTGACCTTATCATTAATGAAAATAAAACCAGGGAAAGTACATACCCTAGGAATTTATCAAAATATGTATAAACTCTAATTTAATTTTTTAAATTTCCATTTGGAACATAAAAGTAACAATTTAGAATATTAAAAAGCAATTATTTAACATAGCAATCCAATTACAAACATTTCAACACTAGTTTTATAGATGAAGGGTATATAATAATGAAAAGTTGTCTAGTATTTTTTTTTACTTAAAGAAACGCAATGAATTATGTAAAAATAAATGAATATCTTCATACGGTCAGATTATTCGAGTGTTAAAATACTTGAAAAGTGCTTATTAACAACATGATCTACAACTTAACATGGGGAACACAGCTAAAAAAATACACTATGTCAAAGGGAGGTAATTCTGATTTTCCATATGATTTTACACATTATTAGGAGAAATATGTTCAAATGTGATTTAAAATGGGGAGAATATTTATGCCTTTTAATAATATCATAACTCTCAAGTGTAATTTCTATTGTTTCTTTCAATCTGGACACAAAACTGATTTTTTACCATATACCCCATGCTTCCTCCCACAGTACACTCAGAGCATCCTGGATAGCCGCAGTCAAACATAGAAATTTGTATAAAAACAACTTTAACTGGTTCCAAAAGGCTTCCATTGCATTAATATTTACAGGGAATTAGTTTTGTGATTATTGTGTGGCCTTGAACAAGTACAGTGACAGAGTGCATATTTTCCTATAAGGGACTTTTTAACTTCTTTTCCTATTTTTGTTGTATTACTCATGTAATGTATCCAATTTTCTTCAAGTTCCAGTTTCAATACAACATTCATAAAGGCTGAACTTGTAAAGAGGGAGGAAAATTTATACTACAGCCCATACTGCGGCCAATGTATGTTTGGTATATAAAGTTGCACATTGACTGTTTTTAAAAGAATGGTGTAAAATACTATGCTTAATAAATATGAATTGTTTTCTGTGTTTGCTTTGATCAGTATTGCAAGTACATCTAGGAAGTAAAGTCTTGATGTACTCTTAGTTAAATTTTGCCTTATATGGAAGATTTTAATTAAATACCCTGAAAAAGACCACAAAAAGACTTTTCAAAGGTTTTTTAAGCAGTTTCATACCATAAAAAAAACAATAATGTTTCATTTTACTAAATCTGTGTTTTAATTACTTGTAAATTTCACAAAATGTCTTTGACAACCACTCTGCAGAAATTCCTGTTACCCCAACATCAGGATGGTTTCTTCGCCAAAACTAGACAGACAAAACTGAAGTAGAAAAAAGTGCCAAACACGAAAAAATAAGACTGGGTATGACCAAACTTTGCATTTGGAACATAAAAGTAACAATTTAGAATATTAAAAAGCAATTATTTAACATAGCAATCCAATTACAAACATTTCAACACTAGTTTTATAGATGAAGGGTATATAATAATGAAAAGTTGTCTAGTATTTTTTTTTACTTTAAGAAACGCAATGAATTATGTAAAAATAAATGAATATCTTCATACGGTCAGATTATTCCAGTGTTAAAATACTTGAAAAGTGCTTATTTACAACATGATCTACAACTTAACATGGGGAACACAGCTAAAAAAATACACTATGTCAAAGGGAGGTAATTCTGATTTTCCATATGATTTTACACATTATTAGGAGAAATATGTTCAAATGTGATTTAAAATGGGGAGAATATTTATGCCTTTTAATAATATCATAACTCTCAAGTGTAATTTCTATTGTTTCTTTCAATCTGGACACAAAACTGATTTTTTACCATATACCCCATGCTTCCTCCCACAGTACACTCAGAACATCCTGGATAGCCACGGTTAAACATAGAAATTTGTATAAAAACAACTTTAACTAGTTCCAAAAGGCTTCCATTGCATTAATATTTACAGGAAATGAGTTTTGTGATTATTGTGTGGCCTTGAACAAGTACAGTGACAGAGTGCATATTTTCCTATAAGGGACTTTTTAACTTCTTTTCCTATTTTTGTTGAATTAATCATGTAATGTATCCAATTTTCAAGTTCCAGTTTCAATACAACATTCATAAAGGCTGAACTTGTAAAGAGGGAGGAAAATTCATACTACAGCCCATACTGCTGCCAATGTATATTTGGTATATAAAGTTGCACATTGACTGTTTTTAAAAGAATGGTGTAAAATACTATGCTTAATAAATATGAATTGTTTTCTGTGTTTGCTTTGATCAGTATTGCAAGTACATCTAGGAACTAAAGTCTTGATGTACTCTTAGTTAAATTTTGCCTTATATGGAAGATTTTAATTAAATACCCTGAAAAAGACCACAAAAAGACTTTTCAAAGGTTTTTTAAGCAGTTTCATACCATAAAAAACAACAATTATGTTTCATTTTACTAAATCTGTGTTTTAATTACTTGTAAATTTCACAAAATGTCATTGACAACCACTCAACAGAAATTCCTGTTACCCCAACATCAGGATGGATTCTTCGCCTAAACTAGACGGACAAAACTGAAGTAGAAAAAAGTGCCAAATATGAAAAAAATAAGACTGGGTATTACCAAACTTTGCATTTGGAACATAAAAGTAACAATTTAGAATATTAAAAAGCAATTATTTAACATAGCAATCCAATTACAAACATTTCAACACTAGTTTTATAGACAACATGATCTACAACTTAACATGGGGATCACAGCTAAAAAAATACACTATGTCAAAGGGAGGTAATTCTGATTTTCCATATGATTTTACACATTATTAGGAGAAATATGTTCAAATGTGATTTAAAATGGGGAGAATATTTATGCCTTTTAATAATATCATAACTCTCAAGTGTAATTTCTATTGTTTATTTCAATCTGGACACAAAACTGATTTTTTACCATATACCCCATGCTTCCTCCCATAGTACACTCATAACATCCTGGATAGCCGCGGTTAAAAATAGAAATTTGTATAAAAACAACTTTAACTGGTTCCAAAAGGCTTCCATTGCATTAATATTTACAGGAAATTAGTTTTGTGATTATTCTGTGGCCTTGAACAAGTACAGTGACATAGTGCATATTTTCCTATAAGGGACTTTTTAACTTTTTTTCCTATTTTTGTTGAATTAATCATGTAATGTATCCAATTTTCAAGTTCCAGTTTCAATACAACATTCATTAAGGCTGAACTTGTAAAGAGGGAGGAAAATTTATACTACAGCCCATACTGCGGCCAATGTATATTTGGTATATAAAGTTGCACATTGACTGTTTTTAAAAGAATGGTGTAAAATACTATGCTTAATAAATATGAATTGTTTTCTGTGTTTGCTTTGATCAGTATTGCAAGTACATCTAGGAACTAAAGTCTTGATGTACTCTTAGTTAAATTTTGCCTTATATGGAAGATTTTAATTAAATACCCTGAAAAAGACCACAAAAAGACTTTTCAAAGGTTTTTTAAGCAGTTTCATACCATAAAAAACAACAATTATGTTTCATTTTACTAAATCTGTGTTTTAATTACTTGTAAATTTCACAAAATGTCATTGACAACCACTCTGCAGAAATTCCTGTTACCCCAACATCTGGATGGTTTATTCGCCAAAACTAGGCGGACAAAACTGAAGTAGAAAAAAGTGCCAAATATGAAAAAAATAAGACTGGGTATGACCAAACTTTGCATTTGGAACATAAAAGTAATAATTTAGAATATTAAAAAGCAATTATTTAACATAGCAATCCAGTTACAAACAGTTCAACACTAGTTTTATAGATGAAGGGTATATAATCATGAAAAGTTGTCTAGTATTTTTTTTTACTTAAAGAAACGCAATGAATTATGTAAAAATAAATGAATATCTTCATACGGTCAGATTATTCGAGTGTTAAAATACTTGAAAAGTGCTTATTTACAACATGATCTACAACTTAACATGGGGAACACAGCTAAAAAAAATACACTATGTCAAAGGGAGGTAATTCTGATTTTCCATATGATTTTACACATTATTAGGAGAAATATGTGCAAAATGTGATTTAAAATGGGAAGAATATTTATGCCTTTTAATAATATCATAACTCACAAGTGTAATTTCTATTGTTTCTTTCAATCTGGACACAAAACTGATTTTTACCATATACCCCATGCTTCCTCCCACAGAACACTCAGAGCATCCTGGATAGCCGCGGTTAAACCGAAATTTGTATAAAAAAAAACTTTAACTGGTTCCAAAAGGCTTCCATTGCATTAATATTTACAGGAAATGAGTTTTGTGATTATTGTGTGGCCTTGAACAAGTACAGTGACAGAGTGCATATTTTCCTATAAGGGACTTTTTAACTTCTTTTCCTATTTTTGTTGTATTAATCATGTAATGTATCCAATTTTCAAGTTCCAGTTTCAATACAACATTCATAAAGGCTGAACTTGTAAAGAGGGAGGAAAATTTATACTACAGCCCATACTGCGTCCAATGTATATTTGGTATATAAAGTTGCACATTGACTGTATATATAATAAATATGAATTGTTTTCTGTGTTTGCTTTGATCAGTATTGCAAGTACATCTAGGAACTAAAGTCTTGATGTACTCTTAGTTAAATTTTGCCTTATATGGAAGATTTTAATTAAATACCCTGAAAAAGACCACAAAAAGACTTTTCAAAGGTTTTTTAAGCAGTTTCATACCATAAAAAACAACAATTATGTTTCATTTTACTAAATCTGTGTTTTAATTACTTGTAAATTTCACAAAATGTCTTTGACAACCACTCTGCAGAAATTCCTGTTACCCCAACATCTGGATGGTTTATTCGCCAAAACTAGGCGGACAAAACTGAAGTAGAAAAAAGTGCCAAATATGAAAAAAATAAGACTGGGTATGACCAAACTTTGCATTTGGAACATAAAAGTAATAATTTAGAATATTAAAAAGCAATTATTTAACATAGCAATCCAGTTACAAACATTTCAACACTAGTTTTATAGATGAAGGGTATATAATCATGAAAAGTTGTCTAGTATTTTTTTTTACTTAAAGAAACGCAATGAATTAGGTAAAAATAAATGAATATCTTCATACGGTCAGATTATTCGAGTGTTAAAATACTTGAAAAGTGCTTATTTACAACATGATCTACAACTTAACATGGGGAACACAGCTAAAAAAATACACTATGTCAAAGGGAGGTAATTCTGATTTTCCATATGATTTTACACATTATTAGGAGAAATATGTGCAAAATGTGATTTAAAATGGGGAGAATATTTATGCCTTTTCATAAAATCATAACTCTCAAGTGTAATTTCTATTGTTTCTTTCAATCTGGACACAAAACTGATTTTTTACCATATACCCCATGCTTCCTCCCACAGTACACTAAGAGCATCCTGGATAGCCGCGGTTAAACATAGAAATTTGTATAAAAAAAAACTTTAACTGGTTCCAAAAGGCTTCCATTGCATTAATATTTACAGGAAATGAGTTTTGTGATTATTGTGTGGCCTTGAACAAGTACAGTGACATAGTGCATATTTTCCTATAGGGGTAAATTCAGTAAAAAATCTCCCATTGACTTTAATGCTAATCTATGTCTTGAATTAAATTTATACCTGATTTACCTTTAGAAATTGGAAGCTTTCATATATCATTCATGAAAGTACAAATGTAGCCCTATCTTTTGCAACAATAAAAACATAGGGTCATGCGGCATTTTTGGGCATTCACATGGCCTTGTTTACAAACACTGTAGATTCGCACTTAATTCCTTTACTGACCCCCATTACTTTTCAACCCTGTAGTAAAAAAATTAAGAACATTCAGCATTCATTTTTTTATTTTTTTTAACTCTAGTTTTGATCCATCTATTAAAAAATATTTATTACAAACATTATCTACCAATCAGAAGAGCACAGGACTGCAGTTTTGTACAGAAAGCTCTCCCCCAAATGGGCGGTCTCTGATGACGTATATTTATTTACTGAATTTACCCCTATAAGGGACTTTTTAACTTCTTTTCCTATTTTGTTGTATTAATCATGTAATGTATCCAATTTTCAAGTTCCAGTTTCAATACAACATTCATAAAGGCTGAACTTGTAAAGAGGGAGGAAAATTTATACTACAGCCCATACTGCGGCCAATGTATATTTGGTATATAAAGTTGCACATTGACTGTATATATAATAAATATGAATTGTTTTCTGTGTTTGCTTTGATCAGTATTGCAAGTACATCTAGGAACTAAAGTCTTGATGTACTCTTAGTTAAATTTTGCCTTATATGGAAGATTTTAATTAAATACCCTGAAAAAGACCACAAAAAGACTTTTCAAAGGTTTTTTAAGCAGTTTCATACCATAAAAAACAACAATTATGTTTCATTTTACTAAATCTGTGTTTTAATTACTTGTAAATTTCACAAAATGTCATTGACAACCACTCTGCAGAAATTCCTGTTACCCCAACATCTGGATGGTTTATTCGCCAAAACTAGGCGGACAAAACTGAAGTAGAAAAAAGTGCCAAATATGAAAAAAATAAGACTGGGTATGACCAAACTTTGCATTTGGAACATAAAAGTAATAATTTAGAATATTAAAAAGCAATTATTTAACATAGCAATCCAATTACAAACATTTCAACACTAGTTTTATAGATGAAGGGTATATAATCATGAAAAGTTGTCTAGTATTTTTTTTTACTTAAAGAAACGCAATGAATTAGGTAAAACTAAACGAATATCTTCATACGGTCAGATTATTCGAGTGTTAAAATACTTGAAAAGTGCTTATTTACAACATGATCTACAACTTAACATGGGGAACACAGCTAAAAAAATACACTATGTCAAAGGGAGGTAATTCTGATTTTCCATATGATTTTACACATTATTAGGAGAAATATGTGCAAAATGTGATTTAAAATGGGGAGAATATTTATGCCTTTTAATAAAATCATAACTCTCAAGTGTAATTTCTATTGTTTCTTTCAATCTGGACACAAAACTGATTTTTTACCATATACCCCATGCTTCCTCCCACAGTACACTAAGAGCATCCTGGATAGCCGCGGTTAAACATAGAAATTTGTATAAAAAAAAACTTTAACTGGTTCCAAAAGGCTTCCATTGCATTAATATTTACAGGAAATGAGTTTTGTGATTATTGTGTGGCCTTGAACAAGTACAGTGACATAGTGCATATTTTCCTATAGGGGTAAATTCAGTAAAAAATCTCCCATTGACTTTAATGCTAATCTATGTCTTGAATTAAATTTATACCTGATTTACCTTTAGAAATTGGAAGCTTTCATATATCATTCATGAAAGTACAAATGTAGCTCTGTCTTTTGCAACAATAAAAACATAGGGTCATGCGGCATTTTTGGGCATTCACATGGCCTTGTTTACAAACACTGTAGATTCGCACTTAATTCCTTTACTGACCCCCATTACTTTTCAACCTTGTAGTAAAAAAATTAAGAACATTCAGCATTCATTTTTTTATTTTTTTTAACTCTAGTTTTGATCCATCTATCAAAAAATATTTATTACAAACATTATCTACCAATCAGAAGAGCACAGGACTGCAGTTTTGTACAGAAAGCTCTCCCCCAAATGGGCGGTCTCTGATGACGTATATTTATTTACTGAATTTACCCCTATAAGGGACTTTTTAACTTCTTTTCCTATTTTGTTGTATTAATCATGTAATGTATCCAATTTTCAAGTTCCAGTTTCAATACAACATTCATAAAGGCTGAACTTGTAAAGAGGGAGGAAAATTTATACTACAGCCCATACTGCGGCCAATGTATATTTGGTATATAAAGTTGCACATTGACTATATATATAATAAATATGAATTGTTTTCTGTGTTTGCTTTGATCAGTATTGCAAGTACATCTAGGAACTAAAGTCTTGATGTACTCTTAGTTAAATTTTGCCTTATATGGAAGATTTTAATTAAATACCCTGAAAAAGACCACAAAAAGACTTTTCAAAGGTTTTTTAAGCAGTTTCATACCATAAAAAACAACAATTATGTTTCATTTTACTAAATCTGTGTTTTAATTACATGTAAATTTCACAAAATGTCATTGACAACCACTCTGCAGAAATTCCTGTTACCCCAACATCTGGATGGTTTATTCGCCAAAACTAGGCGGACAAAACTGAAATAGAAAAAAGTGCCAAATATGAAAAAAATAAGACTGGGTATGACCAAACTTTGCATTTGGAACATAAAAGTAATAATTTAGAATATTAAAAAGCAATTATTTAACATAGCAATCCAATTACAAACATTTCAACACTAGTTTTATAGATGAAGGGTATATAATCATGAAAAGTTGTCTAGTACTTTTTTTTACTTAAAGAAACGCAATGAATTAGGTAAAAATAAACGAATATCTTCATACGGTCAGATTATTCGAGTGTTAAAATACTTGAAAAGTGCTTATTAACAACATGATCTACAACTTAACATGGGGAACACAGCTAAAAAAATACACTATGTCAAAGGGAGGTAATTCTGATTTTTCCATATGAGTTTACACATTATTAGGAGAAATATGTGCAAAATGTGATTTAAAATGGGGAGAATATTTATGCCTTTTAATAAAATCATAACTCTCAAGTGTAATTTCTATTGTTTCTTTCAATCTGGACACAAAACTGATTTTTTACCATATACCCCATGCTTCCTCCCACAGTACACTAAGAGCATCCTGGATAGCCGCGGTTAAACATAGAAATTTGTATAAAAAAAAACTTTAACTGGTTCCAAAAGGCTTCCATTGCATTAATATTTACAGGAAATGAGTTTTGTGATTATTGTGTGGCCTTGAACAAGTACAGTGACATAGTGCATATTTTCCTATAGGGGTAAATTCAGTAAAAAATCTCCCATTGACTTTAATGCTAATCTATGTCTTGAATTAAATTTATACCTGATTTACCTTTAGAAATTGGAAGCTTTCATATATCATTCATGAAAGTACAAATGTAGCCCTATCTTTTGCAACAATAAAAACATAGGGTCATGCGGCATTTTTGGGCATTCACATGGCCTTGTTTACAAACACTGTAGATTCGCACTTAATTCCTTTACTGACCCCCATTACTTTTCAACCCTGTAGTAAAAAAATTAAGAACATTCAGCATTCATTTTTTTATTTTTTTTAACTCTAGTTTGGATCCATCTATCAAAAAATATTTATTACAAACATTATCTAACAATCAGAAGAGCCCAGGACTGCAGTTTTGTACAGAAAGCTCTCCCCCAAATGGGCGGTCTCTGATGACGTATATTTATTTACTGAATTTACCCCTATAAGGGACTTTTTAACTTCTTTTCCTATTTTGTTGTATTAATCATGTAATGTACAATTTTCAAGTTCCAGTTTCAATACAACATTCATAAAGGCTGAACTTGTAAAGAGGGAGGGAAATTTATACTACAGCCCATACTGCGGCCAATGTATATTTGGTATATAAAGTTGCACATTGACTGTATATATAATAAATATGAATTGTTTTCTGTGTTTGCTTTGATCAGTATTGCAAGTACATCTAGGAACTAAAGTCTTGATGTACTCTTAGTTAAATTTTGCCTTATATGGAAGATTTTAATTAAATACCCTGAAAAAGACCACAAAAAGACTTTTCAAAGGTTTTTTAAGCAGTTTCATACCATAAAAAACAACAATTATGTTTCATTTAACTAAATCTGTGTTTTAATTACTTGTAAATTTCACAAAATGTCATTGACAACCACTCTGCAGAAATTCCTGTTACCCCAACATCTGGATGGTTTATTCGCCAAAACTAGGCGGACAAAACTGAAGTAGAAAAAAGTGCCAAATATGAAAAAAATAAGACTGGGTATGACCAAACTTTGCATTTGGAACATAAAAGTAATAATTTAGAATATTAAAAAGCAATTATTTAACATAGCAATCCAATTACAAACATTTCAACACTAGTTTTATAGATGAAGGGTAAATAATCATGAAAATTTGTCTAGTATTTTTTTTTACTTAAAGAAACGCAATGAATTAGGTAAAACTAAACGAATATCTTCATACGGTCAGATTATTCGAGTGTTAAAATACTTGAAAAGTGCTTATTTACAACATGATCTACAACTTAACATGGGGAACACAGCTAAAAAAATACACTATGTCAAAGGGAGGTAATTCTGATTTTCCATATGATTTTACACATTATTAGGAGAAATATGTGCAAAATGTGATTTAAAATGGGGAGAATATTTATGCCTTTTAATAAAATCATAACTCTCAAGTGTAATTTCTATTGTTTCTTTCAATCTGGACACAAAACTGATTTTTTACCATATACCCCATGCTTCCTCCCACAGTACACTAAGAGCATCCTGGATAGCCGCGGTTAAACATAGAAATTTGTATAAAAAAAAAACTTTAACTGGTTCCAAAAGGCTTCCATTGCATTAATATTTACAGGAAATGAGTTTTGTGATTATTGTGTGGCCTTGAACAAGTACAGTGACATAGTGCATATTTTCCTATAGGGGTAAATTCAGTAAAAAATCTCCCATTGACTTTAATGCTAATCTATGTCTTGAATTAAATTTATACCTGATTTACCTTTAGAAATTGGAAGCTTTCATATATCATTCATGAAAGTACAAATGTAGCCCTATCTTTTGCAACAATAAAAACATAGGGTCATGCGGCATTTTTTGGCATTCACATGGCCTTGTTTACAAACACTGTAGATTCGCACTTAATTCCTTTACTGACCCCCATTACTTTTCAACCCTGTAGTAAAAAAATTAAGAACATTCAGCATTCATTTTTTTTATTTTTTTTAACTCTAGTTTTGATCCATCTATCAAAAAAAATTTATTACAAACATTATCTAACAATCAGAAGAGCACAGGACTGCAGTTTTGTACAGAAAGCTCTCCCCCAAATGGGCGGTCCCAGCTGATGACGTATATTTATTTACTGAATTTACCCCTATAAGGGACTTTTTAACTTCTTTTCCTATTTTGTTGTATTAATCATGTAATGTATCCAATTTTCAAGTTCCAGTTTCAATACAACATTCATAAAGGCTGAACTTGTAAAGAGGGAGGAAAATTTATACTACAGCCCATACTGCGGCCAATGTATATTTGGTATATAAAGTTGCACATTGACTGTATATATAATAAATATGAATTGTTTTCTGTGTTTGCTTTGATCAGTATTGCAAGTACATCTAGGAACTAAAGTCTTGATGTACTCTTAGTTAAATTTTGCCTTATATGGAAGATTTTAATTAAATACCCTGAAAAAGACCACAAAAAGACTTTTCAAAGGGTTTTTAAGCAGTTTCATACCATAAAAAACAACAATTATGTTTCATTTTACTAAATCTGTGTTTTAATTACTTGTAAATTTCACAAAATGTCATTAACAACCACTCTGCAGAAATTCCTGTTACCCCAACATCTGGATGGTTTATTCGCCAAAACTAGGCGGACAAAACTGAAGTAGAAAAAAGTGCCAAATATGAAAAAAATAAGACTGGGTATGACCAAACTTTGCATTTGGAACATAAAAGTAATAATTTAGAATATTAAAAAGCAATTATTTAACATAGCAATCCAATTACAAACATTTCAACACTAGTTTTATAGATGAAGGGTATATAATCATGAAAAGTTGTCTAGTATTTTTTTTTACTTAAAGAAACGCAATGAATTAGGTAAAAATAAACGAATGTCTTCATACGGTCAGATTATTCGAGTGTTAAAATACTTGAAAAGTGCTTATTTACAACATGATCTACAACTTAACATGGGGAACACAGCTAAAAAAATACACTATGTCAAAGGGGGGTAATTCTGATTTTTCATATGATTTTACACATTATTAGGAGAAATATGTGCAAAATGTGATTTAAAATGGGGAGAATATTTATGCCTTTTAATAAAATCATAACTCTCAAGTGTAATTTCTATTTTTTCTTTCAATCTGGACACAAAACTGATTTTTTACCATATACCCCATGCTTCCTCCCACAGTACACTAAGAGCATCCTGGATAGCCGCGGTTAAACATAGAAATTTGTATAAAAAAAAACTTTAACTGGTTCCAAAAGGCTTCCATTGCATTAATATTTACAGGAAATGAGTTTTGTGATTATTGTGTGGCCTTGAACAAGTACAGTGACATAGTGCATATTTTCCTATAGGGGTAAATTCAGTAAAAAATCTCCCATTGACTTTAATGCTAATCTATGTCTTGAATTAAATTTATACCTGATTTACCTTTAGAAATTGGAAGCTTTCATATATCATTCATGAAAGTACAAATGTAGCCCTATCTTTTGCAACAATAAAAACATAGGGTCATGCGGCATTTTTTGGCATTCACATGGCCTTGTTAACAAACACTGTAGATTCGCACTTAATTCCTTTACTGACCCCCATTACTTTTCAACCCTGTAGTAAAAAAATTAAGAACATTCAGCATTCATTTTTTTATTTTTTTTAACTCTAGTTTTGATCCATCTATCAAAAAATATTTATTACAAACATTATCTACCAATCAGAAGAGCACAGGACTGCAGTTTTGTACAGAAAGCTCTCCCCCAAATGGGCGGTCCCAGCTGATGACGTATATTTATTTACTGAATTTACCCCTATAAGGGACTTTTTAACTTCTTTTCCTATTTTGTTGTATTAATCATGTAATGTATCCAATTTTCAAGTTCCAGTTTCAATACAACATTCATAAAGGCTGAACTTGTAAAGAGGGAGGAAAATTTATACTACAGCCCATACTGCGGCCAATGTATATTTGGTATATAAAGTTGCACATTGACTGTATATATAATAAATATGAATTGTTTTCTGTGTTTGCTTTGATCAGTATTGCAAGTACGTCTAGGAACTAAAGTCTTGATGTACTCTTAGTTAAATTTTGCCTTATATGGAAGATTTTAATTAAATACCCTGAAAAAGACCACAAAAAGACTTTTCAAATGTTTTTTAAGCAGTTTCATACCATAAAAAACAACAATTATGTTTCATTTTACTAAATCTGTGTTTTAATTATATTTCACAAAATGTCATTGACAACCACTCTGCAGAAATTCCTGTTACCCCAACATCTGGATGGTTTATTCGCCAAAACTAGGCGGACAAAACTGAAGTAGAAAAAAGTGCCAAATATGAAAAAAAATAAGACTGGGTATGACCAAACTTTGCATTTGGAACATAAAAGTAATAATTTAGAATATTAAAAAGCAATTATTTAACATAGCAATCCAATTACAAACATTTCAACACTAGTTTTATAGATGAAGGGTATATAATCATGAAAAGTTGTCTAGTATTTTTTTTTACTTAAAGAAACGCAATGAATTAGGTAAAAATAAACGAATATCTTCATACGGTCAGATTATTCGAGTGTTAAAATACTTGAAAAGTGCTTATTTACAACATGATCTACAACTTAACATGGGGAACACAGCTAAAAAAAAACACTATGTCAAAGGGAGGTAATTCTGATTTTCCATATGATTTTACACATTATTAGGAGAAATATGTGCAAAAGGCTTCCATTGCATTAATATTTACAGGAAATGAGTTTTGTGATTATTGTGTGGCCTTGAACAAGTACAGTGACATAGTGCATATTTTCCTATAGGGGTAAATTCAGTAAAAAATCTCCCATTGACTTTAATGCTAATCTATGTCTTGAATTAAATTTATACCTGATTTACCTTTAGAAATTGGAAGCTTTCATATATCATTCATGAAAGTACAAATGTAGCCCTATCTTTTGCAACAATAAAAACATAGGGTCATGCGGCATTTTTTGGCATTCACATGGCCTTGTTAACAAACACTGTAGATTCGCACTTAATTCCTTTACTGACCCCCATTACTTTTCAACCCTGTAGTAAAAAAATTAAGAACATTCAGCATTCATTTTTTTATTTTTTTTAACTCTAGTTTTGATCCATCTATCAAAAAATATTTATTACAAACATTATCTACCAATCAGAAGAGCACAGGACTGCAGTTTTGTACAGAAAGCTCTCCCCCAAATGGGCGGTCCCAGCTGATGACGTATATTTATTTACTGAATTTACCCCTATAAGGGACTTTTTAACTTCTTTTCCTATTTTGTTGTATTAATCATGTAATGTATCCAATTTTCAAGTTCCAGTTTCAATACAACATTCATAAAGGCTGAACTTGTAAAGAGGGAGGAAAATTTATACTACAGCCCATACTGCGGCCAATGTATATTTGGTATATAAAGTTGCACATTGACTGTATATATAATAAATATGAATTGTTTTCTGTGTTTGCTTTGATCAGTATTGCAAGTACGTCTAGGAACTAAAGTCTTGATGTACTCTTAGTTAAATTTTGCCTTATATGGAAGATTTTAATTAAATACCCTGAAAAAGACCACAAAAAGACTTTTCAAATGTTTTTTAAGCAGTTTCATACCATAAAAAACAACAATTATGTTTCATTTTACTAAATCTGTGTTTTAATTATATTTCACAAAATGTCATTGACAACCACTCTGCAGAAATTCCTGTTACCCCAACATCTGGATGGTTTATTCGCCAAAACTAGGCGGACAAAACTGAAGTAGAAAAAAGTGCCAAATATGAAAAAAAATAAGACTGGGTATGACCAAACTTTGCATTTGGAACATAAAAGTAATAATTTAGAATATTAAAAAGCAATTATTTAACATAGCAATCCAATTACAAACATTTCAACACTAGTTTTATAGATGAAGGGTATATAATCATGAAAAGTTGTCTAGTATTTTTTTTTACTTAAAGAAACGCAATGAATTAGGTAAAAATAAACGAATATCTTCATACGGTCAGATTATTCGAGTGTTAAAATACTTGAAAAGTGCTTATTTACAACATGATCTACAACTTAACATGGGGAACACAGCTAAAAAAAAACACTATGTCAAAGGGAGGTAATTCTGATTTTCCATATGATTTTACACATTATTAGGAGAAATATGTGCAAAATGTGATTTAAAATGGGGAGAATATTTATGCCTTTTAATAAAATCATAACTCTCAAGTGTAATTTCTATTTTTTCTTTCAATCTGGACACAAAACTGATTTTTTACCATATACCCCATGCTTCCTCCCACAGTACACTAAGAGCATCCTGGATAGCCGCGGTTAAACATAGAAATTTGTATAAAAAAAAACTTTAACTGGTTCCAAAAGGCTTCCATTGCATTAATATTTACAGGAAATGAGTTTTGTGATTATTGTGTGGCCTTGAACAAGTACAGTGACATAGTGCATATTTTCCTATAGGGGTAAATTCAGTAAAAAATCTCCCATTGACTTTAATGCTAATCTATGTCTTGAATTAAATTTATACCTGATTTACCTTTAGAAATTGGAAGCTTTCATATATCATTCATGAAAGTACAAATGTAGCCCTATCTTTTGCAACAATAAAAACATAGGGTCATGCGGCATTTTTTGGCATTCACATGGCCTTGTTAACAAACACTGTAGATTCGCACTTAATTCCTTTACTGACCCCCATTACTTTTCAACCCTGTAGTAAAAAAATTAAGAACATTCAGCATTCATTTTTTTATTTTTTTTAACTCTAGTTTTGATCCATCTATCAAAAAATATTTATTACAAACATTATCTACCAATCAGAAGAGCACAGGACTGCAGTTTTGTACAGAAAGCTCTCCCCCAAATGGGCGGTCCCAGCTGATGACGTATATTTATTTACTGAATTTACCCCTATAAGGGACTTTTTAACTTCTTTTCCTATTTTGTTGTATTAATCATGTAATGTATCCAATTTTCAAGTTCCAGTTTCAATACAACATTCATAAAGGCTGAACTTGTAAAGAGGGAGGAAAATTTATACTACAGCCCATACTGCGGCCAATGTATATTTGGTATATAAAGTTGCACATTGACTGTATATATAATAAATATGAATTGTTTTCTGTGTTTGCTTTGATCAGTATTGCAAGTACGTCTAGGAACTAAAGTCTTGATGTACTCTTAGTTAAATTTTGCCTTATATGGAAGATTTTAATTAAATACCCTGAAAAAGACCACAAAAAGACTTTTCAAATGTTTTTTAAGCAGTTTCATACCATAAAAAACAACAATTATGTTTCATTTTACTAAATCTGTGTTTTAATTATATTTCACAAAATGTCATTGACAACCACTCTGCAGAAATTCCTGTTACCCCAACATCTGGATGGTTTATTCGCCAAAACTAGGCGGACAAAACTGAAGTAGAAAAAAGTGCCAAATATGAAAAAAAATAAGACTGGGTATGACCAAACTTTGCATTTGGAACATAAAAGTAATAATTTAGAATATTAAAAAGCAATTATTTAACATAGCAATCCAATTACAAACATTTCAACACTAGTTTTATAGATGAAGGGTATATAATCATGAAAAGTTGTCTAGTATTTTTTTTTACTTAAAGAAACGCAATGAATTAGGTAAAAATAAACGAATATCTTCATACGGTCAGATTATTCGAGTGTTAAAATACTTGAAAAGTGCTTATTTACAACATGATCTACAACTTAACATGGGGAACACAGCTAAAAAAAAACACTATGTCAAAGGGAGGTAATTCTGATTTTCCATATGATTTTACACATTATTAGGAGAAATATGTGCAAAATGTGATTTAAAATGGGGAGAATATTTATGCCTTTTAATAAAATCATAACTCTCAAGTGTAATTTCTATTTTTTCTTTCAATCTGGACACAAAACTGATTTTTTACCATATACCCCATGCTTCCTCCCACAGTACACTAAGAGCATC